GCATTTTTAACTTTTCTACAAGCTTACCCAAGATCAAGCAATGTCAGAGATGCTATTTAACTAATATATAACATATTATTTATATTAATAATGATTTTTATTTGTTATTAAATAATTTATTAAGCTGTCATTCATCAGAACAAAATACTTCATTTAATCTTTAAAAATTGAAATTGAAATAATACCATATAAATTTCCTTGCCAATTCTGTTAAATAATAAATAAAGGATACATACAAAATCCATATAGTAAAAATAAATAATGATTAATTATATTGAAATCAATAGCCACCATTGTAAATAATACAAAATAATTTATTTGGAGTTTTATGCTTTACATTTCCATACCGAACTAGTTTAGTGCTCCATGCTGCAATCCAACAAAGTTGTTGCAAAGGCAGTTACGACTAGGTGTTGCAATCATTTGTATATGATGTAAAGGTGGTTACAACCATCATCAAAGTTGCAGTCGGTATCCTTAAAATAAATAAATAATAAAGCCTAAATAAAAGTATATTGTTATTAATAAATTAATTTACATGAATAAATATAGTAATGGTGATTCTGAATATACTTAATAAAAACCAATAAAAATTAAATTCTAGTCATAAATTTCTAATTTTAATAAAAAATGTACTTTGAACAAATCAACAGATTATTACAGATTATGAAAGAGCAAGTTTAATAGTATTTCTTTCAATTATTAATAAACCGATTTATTTTTAGAAAATGTAACATAGATATAACAAGAAGTATCTTGTGAATTCATTTATAACATATAATGAATTGATCAGCAGACTATTCTGGAATCGAACCCTGCTATGGAAATATCCCTGACTGAATTATTCAAATTAGCATAGTTAGCGTAACCACAATATATGTAATTGCAAAAAATGTTTGTGGATGGTTTCCTAGAAGTAACAAAGCCTCTTGGAAGGTAATGATGGGTTATTTCATAAACTAAAGAAGGCAATTAACACCATTGGATGAAGTTTTGGTAATCAAAAGATACTGATTTCATGCTTGATATAGTGGTAGTATCATATTGTCTCTGGATGTGAATGCAACTTGCTTCTTTTACAATCTACTGTTCTTGATTTTGTGGTTGTTCCAAGACTTGTATCTACCAAACCTAAACAGAATGCAAGGTCGAATTTAAATGAGTTAATTTTTGTATTATTCATTTTGTCGACACCCATTTTGTCAAAAGTTTGTTTCATCGAATGTTCATTTCATCAAAAATTATTTCGTCACAAAAAAAAACTTAATTAAACAAATTCCTCCTGACACTTGCCACAAACTCCGCTTTCCTCACCTAATTTCTTAACTAACTTCCCATATTCCTCACATCTAACTCATTTGGTCTCTGGCTCAAGGATGAAATAATTTTTGATGAAATGAACTTTCGATGCAAACTTTTGACAAAGTAAAAGTGACCTGTATGTTGAGTTTGATTGCTTGCCGAACTACTAATAGATAATATGAGAGAGGATATAATTAATTCTTCATTAATGATTGACTACTTGCAGCAAAAAACCTACTTTAATTTTGGTATCAGAAAAAAGATCTCACAAACAAATATATGCAAGCCTTTAATTATATCATGAAATAAATATTCATTAAACATCTTAAATTCTAAATAACCAAATTCTCTCATTTAACCAAAA